CCACCTCGCCCGGATGTGACCCCCAGACACCCGCTCGTGAAGGAACAGAACCGAGCTGCTCCGCCACCAAAGGGCCGCAACAGGTCCCGCCGGTGGCCAGGGGCAGGACAGCAGAGGCCAGGCGGGGCCGTGGTCTCCCTCAGAGGAGCCCCTCCGAGCACGTGTTGTTCAGGAGCTCAAACACTGTTCTCCAGGGTTCAGTGCTGATGGTGAAGAGACAGGTGACGGTCTGCGGGGAAACGCAGGGGAGGGAGCGTGGGTGGGGGGGCCTTGGGAAGCTGGTGGCTCTGGCTCTAAGCCCAGCACCCACACACCTTTGCACTCCTGGGGGCGGGGGCGGCGGGGGGTGCAGGCTCCTGCCCTCGGTCGTCGATGCCCCCGACCTGGGACTCGCTCCTGACCCCAGGGCGCCTGTGTCCTTCTTTCCCCGCCAGGCCCGTGGTCCCCAGAGGCTGTTCCAGTGGGACCCAAGCCGCCAGCGCCCCACTGGGAGTCTCCCTGCACACCTGCTGTCTCCCAGGGGCCTCGACCCTGCGGGGCTTGTCCTGGGGCGGGCTTCAGCCCCTTGTCAGCTGGAGCAGGAGCGGGAGTTCCGCGGGGCAGGGTGCCGGTCACCCCCCTGTGTCTCCAGGAGCGGCGCCGTCATCACTGCCACACCCCCGCCCCCGGGGCGGCATCCACCCCTGTGTCACCCGAGGGCGGCTGGTGCGTCTCTTACATTGTTCACGTCCGGACGTCCTTGAAACGGACAGTTGTCAATGTCTTCGTCAAACTTGCCACACCTGGTGCGGGTGAGCTGCAGCTCCGTGGAGAACACCATGGCGGTGTCCACCTGTGGTCGGGAGACACCGAGGTGAGGGCGTCCCTCCTGCCCCCGGGTGGCAGGCACAGCAGGTCCACGCAGAGCAGGGGGGCGGGCCGGGCCGGGGGTGTCGGCTCTGCAAGTGTGCTGGGTCAGTCAGTTCTGAGAAAGGGGGGCTCACCCTCACGCCCCATGTCACGCTTTCACCTGCCCCACGGCAGGAAAATGCCGCTCAGAGCTACGGCTACACACACACACACACGCACTCATACACTCACACACACTCATGCACACACACACTCACGCACACACGCACACTCACACACACACACTCACAAGCACACACAGGCCAGGCGTGCTCCTCCGGCCGAGGGTCTCAGCGTTGGCGTCTGCAGCCCACGTGGAAATCCCACCCCTGCTGGCACTCTGCAGAGACCCCACGGCCAGGAGAACAGTTTCGGATTAAGAACCAAGGTCCGGAAGAGTGTAAGTCACACTCAGCCCGCGTGGGCGGAGACCCGGAAGGCGCCCCGAGCAGGCGGAGCCAGAGGAGAGGCCGTGGCCCCACAGGGGTCCTCAGGGCCAGGGGACCCTGCGGCCTGCCCCCACCCCCCAGGCCCCGGCCTCCTCCCTCCCTCCGTGCATGTCTGGGCGTCTCTGTCTCTCTCTCTTTCTAAATTAACCCACTTTGCTGTTATTTCCTTGAAATACTTTCTGAATCTATCGAATCCAATACTCCCTGAGGTTTTTTTCTTTTTTTTTTTAACTAAATACCTTCATCCCCTCATCGGCCATATTTTGGTCACTCTTCATTAAACCACGTCCAGAGATGACGAAAACTGAAGATACACCTTACGTGTGAGTTGATGGACTGAGGTGCTAAAAATTTCCAAGTTACTCCTTTGATAGGAGCTGAGAGCGACTGAACAGGCTGCATTTCCCCTCTGCTTTACGGGCTTCGGGTGGGGAAGAGGGCGGCTGGACGAGACCCTCCCCCGGCCTCACGCGAGAGCAGGTGCCGGCCGGCGGGGCGGGCGCGTGGTACCCACCGGCTCCCTCCAGGACCTCAGGACACGCTTCACCTTGTAGGCGTTCTCGTCCTGGCTCCTCAGGTTGAACTCGTGTACGGCGTACTCCACGGTGGCGGGTAAGTACCTTTCCAGCACCCTCTGGTCCTCCGCGCTCACTTCCCTCTGGAGACCCCCGCCGCGAGCCTCCGGGAGCTGGGGACCCAGGAGAAGCAGGAGCAGGGCCCAGGGCCGAGCCCACCTCCACCTGCCCTGCCGGCGCTGCGTGGCTGTGGGCGGCCGGGCTCCCATGCCTCCCGCCTTCCCCACTCCGGCTCCCACCCTGCCTGCCTGGGCCTCGGTCCAGTCCATCTGCTCCAGGCACACTCCTCCCCTGGGCCTCCCTCTGGCGTTGCACCCTGTGTCTTCCCTCCTGTGACCCTGCCTCCTCCATCCGAAGCTGATAGAGCTCCCGCGGCCCAGGGCAGAGACACGGGAGCCAGGCGGGGGCGGGAGGGGCCGGCCGTGGAGGAGGGCCCGCTGCAGCGGAAGCCCAGCACAGGCGCCCCTGGGCCCCTCCGGGGGAGGGAGGCTTGCCTGGGGGCCCCAGGCCGAGACTCCGAATCAAGGACACAGTTGCGAGAGGTTTCGGAGGAAGGTGGTCCCTGGGCACAGCAGCGGGTGAGGGTCAGCGAGACGAGGAGGGACAGGGCCAAAGAGGAGGGGCTGCCGAGGGCCGGCTTTGAGGGCGACAGAGGCGCCTGCCCAGACGTCAAGGGCATTGATGCTAAGAAGGCAGCAGGGGCCGGGGTCCTGACAGGTGCGGGCGTGGCCTCGTCCCACGTGGCCCCCAACCCCCCGAGTTGTGGAACAGTGAGGCTCATGGCCCCTGGGCTGGCGCCAGGTCAGAGGACGTGCAGGTCCTGGACACTCCTGGACCCCGGAGCTGCCGGCCAGCCCCTGCGTCTCCCTTCCCGCCCCCGCTCCGCTCCGGGGTGGTCAACCTTGCTGTGTGATGGCCACGCCCCCTCCACCGACCCACGGCGGCCTCCCACACCCCTTTTGTTGGGGTGTCGTTACGGGAGGGAGCGTGAGCGTAGGAGGAGCAGAGAGGCGGGGGTCGGGGGTGGACCCAGTGTGCTCAGGGAGGCTGAGCTGTGTCCACGGGAGACGCTGGTGCCCTCCTGTGGCCTCAGGGCCACGGCACAGAGGACACTGCTTCCTGTGCAGAGTCTGTTTGTGCAGAAGAGACCTTCACAGCCTCCCACTGGGGCGGCTCAGGCAGCTCTGGGATGACCCCACAACACACCCTTTCCAATCCAGGCCTCAGCTCTGAGCCCTGACATAGGCCTTTAGCCTCTGTTCCCAGCTCCTTGAGACCTTCAGAGGGGACCAGAGTGCCCCGGAGGCCTGTGGGTGCCCTGCCCCTGGGCCTCTCCGGCGCTGCGGGATTCTGACCCCAGGCTGGGCAGGCCCTGGGCATCCGCACCCTAGCCCGTTCCCGGGGCCAGTGCCGCTCCTGCCTCTGGACCACACGTTGAGCAGCTCGGTTCAGGGCCCCCGGGCCTGGATGCAGTGGAGCCACAATGAGAAATCCACCCCGTGTGGGCTGGGGACTTGGGGCTGGAGGATGGTCTGGGGGCTGCAGCGGCTCAGGGAAGGGGTCAGAACACCATGCTGGTGACAGAGAAAAAGGTGGGTGTCCAGAAGCCAGGTGTCCGTGAGCAGGCGGGGCCTGTGCGGGGAGAGGGGGTGCTGTGAACCTGCCAGCCTGTCCCTGCACAG